CTTATCCCTTAAGTAAGCTCCCAGTTGTGTTGGTCATCGATAGCCTACTATGACCCACTTACCTTGGGGCACCTCTATCATGTTACCAGCTTTCAGACTGAGTGCCCACACAACACTACAGGTGGTTAAGTGATTTTTATTTCATCCATCCCACAATGTTCTGCCCTCATTCTGAAAGTTGGGGAGCTTTCTCCCCTCAGATGGAGCAACCATGAAGCCGGGATAGCTCAGTAGTTAGAGCACAAGACTTTTAATCTCAGGTTTGTAGGGTCAAGCCCTATGTTGGGCAAAAGAATCCTGCATTGCGGGGGTTGGACTAGATGACCCTTGTGGTACCTTCCAACCATACAGTTCTGTGATTCTAAATCATATTCCATTAAAAAAAGCATTCTAAATAAAAAAAGTGCTATGCTTTTTCTTTTTTTAAGAAACCATTCTAAAGATTCCTTCATGAAAGCCTTTGGGTAGATCTGCCTACAATTTGGCAGACATAATCCACTGAAGATGGACTTCTGTGCCCACAAATTTTACCAACTTCAGAGATGAAAGATCCCTGCCCCCTTTAGTTGAATGGGGGACAGAGCTTCAGATAAGCCTGTCCTTGTGAAATGATCACTTTAACTAACATTCTGAAAGGCAGCAAGCTTTATCCCCTCAGAATTGGCAACCATGCTTGCAACTGCATCAAATTCTGGCAGAAACCTCTCTCTCTCTCTCTCTCTCTCTCTCTCTCTCACACACACACACACACACACACACAATCCTGGCTGAATCTTAATGGAATTTGGCAGACTTAATCCACTCTGGAGGAGCTGCAAATTTGCCTGCAAATTTCATCCACTTATGAGAAGAAGCTACAGTCAGTTTTAGGTTCCCCATTATAGTAAATGTGGGAAGGACAGGGTTTTGGCTTTAACAGAACTTCTTCAGAAACAAATAACAAATCAAACTGAAAAATCAGAGCAATTCCAAATCCATTGTTTTATTTATTTACTAAGTATTAGTAAGACAAAGGAGATAGTGTTGGACTTCTGGAGGAAGAGAGGGGAACCTGCCCCGTTGTATATTGGGGGGGGGCTGTGTGGAGAGAGTCTCCTCCTTTAAATTCCTGGGTGTTTAACTTAGTGAGGATCTCACTTGGAAAATCAACATAACTCAGGTGGTCAGAAAAGCCCAACAAAGACTCAATTTCCTCAGGGTCTTGCGAAAGAATAATGTTAAACAACAACTGATGAACTCCTTTTACCGGTCCACAATAGAAAGTGTCCTTACATATTGTACCACAGTGTGGTATGCTGGCCTGACATGCACGGATAGAAAGTCTCTACAGAGGGTGGTGAATACAGCACATGATATCATGGGCTGTCCCTTGAGTCCGCTAGATGACATCGCAAGGGATCGTTGCCTTAGGAGAGCGAGAAAAATTCTCAGGGCTGACTCACACCCTGGCCATCACCTCTTTAATCTTCTACCCTTGGGCAGGAGATATAGAAGTATAATCAGCCGTACCAACAGGCTAAAAAATAGCTTCTATCTGTGGCTGTTGAATGGAAAATAACATAGCAAAATTGACTTGCGAGGTAGTGTGTTGTTTGATAAGAGACTGAGTGTTTGGGCGGGGAGGGAGGCTCATTTAATTTCATTGTACACAGGTTGTACAATGACAATAAAGGTATTGTTTATTTATTTATTTATTTTCATTAATATACTGCCGTTATCACAAGATCAGCATCACTATTGATGCCAATATAAGGTGAATCTTGTAGCTGTTGCACATTCCTTGTATTTATACAATTTTTGTATATATATTTTAAAGTGTGTGTATGTGTGTGTCCAGTAGCTGATACTGTGTGAACAGTATACACCTTTGAAGAAGCTGATGTTGAGTGATGTCTCCTGAAATCCTACATAACAACTTGTTTCCAAACATTTGCTCTAAAAACTATGTTAGCTGCCCATTAAATGCCAAAAATGATCAGGGAGACAAATGAAATCAGGCAATATGTGGTTTCTATAAGAAGCAGAATTGGACCCAATGCTTCTAAAGTCCTATACGTTGAGTTTCTTTAGATATATATAAAAACCCTGAGAAACAGAGAGCAGAGTGAATTAGAAAGCTGAACTGACATTTGAAGAAAGAAGATACTATCTCTCTTCTTAGCGAAAGAAAAAAACACAAAATGAGATGGTTAGCAAGGGTGAATAATGAAAAGATAGCATAAGGCTTTGATTCTGTGGTTGTATCCGAGATCTGTTCAGTCACAAACTCCTAATCCATTTCAAACTCAACAAAAGTTCTCCTTCAATTAAAAACCTATTGATAACCTATTTATCTAGCAGAACCATGCTGTTTCTGTTGCAACATGTTTGCCACTCTTCAGTCTCCTTGTAATTAATAAGGTTCAATATGGTAAGGGGCTTAAATGGCATCCTTCCACTCTCTCTGCCCACTATGAAGTGGAAGCCACACAGCACCTATAACAGTTCAATCAGCCGTAAGAACATTCAGCCAAAAGGCCTAAATGGTGCCTAAAAGACTGGACACGTTTGTGAGCCGTTGGGCAAGAGAGGCAACAGCGAGAAAATCCTTGGCTCTGATTGGTTCATTCCGAAGGTGATCTGAAGAGGTGGGCAGGGCTTGACCCCTATTTAAGGCAGTCTCTCCGTTTGCAGCATCACCTGACCTTCCTCCCTGTCTCCCAGTGCGCTTCAGGATCACAACTAGGGAGCAATGTAGGATTTTTTTCTGAAGAAACAGCTTCATTTTGGATGTCCTGAATCCACAGATGCCCTGGTTATTTTTCAACACCATGACTCAAAGGTGCATGGCACAAAGTCTCAAAGGTTTTGGTATACATCTGTAAGCACCCTATGTGGTGCACATGAATGGCAGCAGGGGAAATGTTGGGATTGTATATCCCTCACACAAAACATAGGTTTGTATTTCATATCATGGAAGCATTTCCTTCAATATTCCATTCTGAACAAGTTTCACTACTGACAATGAACTCTATTGCTCTTCCTCCTCCTCCTCTGCTCTTCCCCAAAGCATCCTTCAAACATAGTGTATTAGATCATTTTATCATGTTTTTCAATCAGCTAGAGAAGAAATCTGATTGTCCATGCCTTGGAATTCTATGTAGCTTATGACTGAAGGTGAATTGTACTTTGGTTGCCTGCATGCGAAGCCAAAGACCAGCAACAATGCAAACAAGCAAAATTTATTGTGAAACCCCAGGGATCAGTTTGCAGCATTTCTAATGCTGTTAAGAGCATACAGTTTCCTGGAGAGACAAACTCATCTGAACTGCAAAGGAGGTTCGGTATAGCAATAAAACCATCAAAGATTTATTCAACACAAAAAATCGGACTGAACCAGCCCCCCCCCCAACCATGACCTTTTCATAATCAAACCGCAATAATAATGTAAACAGGGCCAAGAGGCTGGGGGAGCTCTGGCAAAATAAACATGTTTCTGTTTTTCTGTTTCAACATAAAACATTAGAACTGAAGATTCCTAACATGTCATGCAGGCTCTGTTTGTGTACTCTACTCTATGGTGTCAGCCTGCACTTTCCATAATTATTACTGTGTTTACAAATGCAAGGATGTGGGGTCAATCGGATCCCTTGTCTGCTACAACCAGTTAGCTAAGAATGGGTTTATAGCCTGCTGTGAAATATTTTAAAGTAGTAACATGTTAGGTTTCACTTTTGGAAAACAAAAACAAAGCAGCTGCCCTCCACAGGGCAGTGTGGGAATTCTGTATATGTGCAACATATATAGGTTGTGCTTTTCAGTATAGAGAGATTTTGGAACTGGACAGGAAACTATGCTGCTCTGAGCAGCCTATTATATTTCTGCAGAATGGCGCTATCAGTGTCAGTCTCAGCACAGCACGCTGTCATTATATGGATCTTCCCATCCCATTCTCACCAGGCATAGGCTGCTCACATATTCTCACAGGTTAGCCCAAATAATGAATCCAGAATCTACTGAACATTTACACAACCAAGAAGCTTTTTTCAAAGTAGAGCTTTGGAAAAGTAATGCACAATGGCTATGGTGCCACAAGAACTGGTATGAGCTACTGTAATTTCACTAGAATTGTTACCCGAGTTTTCAATATTGATTATATATCTCCACTTAACTTCTTCTGTGGTTAGTGAGAACAACCCATGATCACACTATGGTTTCATATCATGCTGTGATATGATATGAATATCGCAAGCTGAGATATCCCAAGGAGAACTGTGGCTAGTTTCAAATAGAGCCTTGCAGGAAGAAGAGAGGAGGGAAGGGGAAGTGTGTGAGCTCTGGGCTTGACACAGCTCATGCCTATATTGAAGGGACGATGGCCCTCAACATGTTGCTGGACTATAACTCCCATCAGCCCCAGCCAGCATGGCCAATGGTCAGAGACGCTGGGATTTGTAGTCTAGCAACACCTGGAGAGTTAACAATCCCTGCTATCATGGAAAACCATGGTTTCCTTTTATGCCTGAATGTAAACCATGATTTCAAGTACTTAATAACTTCAGGATCGGACTATGTTTTACCAGGGCTTCTTTTTTCTCAGGTGGGAGTCATTGCCATCATAAGAGAACAAGCGCCGATCAGAATGTTGGCGGTTCGAATCTCCACGACGGGGTGAGCTCCTGTTGTTCGGTCCCAGCTCCTGACAACCTAGCAGGTTGAAAGCACGTCAAAGTGCAAGTAGATAAATAGGTACCGCTGTGGCGGGAAGGTAAACGGCATTTCCATGCACTGCTCTGGTTTCGCCAGAAGCAGCTTAGTCATGCTGTCCACATGACCCAGAAAAACTGTCTGCAGACAAACATCAGCTTCCTCGGCCTGTAAAGCGAGATGAGTGCCGCAACCCCAGAGTTGTTTGCGACCGGACTTAACTGTCAGGGGTCCCTCACCTTCAACCCGTGATTTCAAGTACTGCATAACTTCAGGATCAGACTATGTTTTACCAGGGTTTTTCCCCCCTCAGGTGGGTGCCATTGCCATCATAAGAGAACAAGGGAAGCATTCATGGTGAGTTGCAGTACCTCTTTTTCTAGAAAAACAGCACCGTGTTTTACTAACATAGATAGCTAAAAAAGTAATTTGGGTTTTTCTTTCTTTAAGTAAAAGTATGGGAGGGATCAGATTTGCAATGCAAGCAATTGGGGGGGGGGTAATTCCTACTGGTGTAATAGGACCTTCCTCCCATCCTGACCAGGTCTCATTGTAGCAGTGGAGGAGCTTGGGGTCTCAAATGTCAGCAACACGCTGGACAACACCAAAATTCACCCCCACCTCTCACACTCCATTCTAAATAATAGTTGTAGCGCCCCCAAGGCTCCACGGCGGTCACACTCTCCTAATTCTGCCACTGATTGCAATGTGATGGAGGGGTATTTTTTGCAGGGAGATCAGCTTGAGAAAGAAAGATTAAGCCTACCCTCCCCACATGCTGTGGCCTAGCAGTCTGAACAGGTCTTCAGATCATTCCAACTGGAGCATCTTAAATTATTGAGAAGGCACTAGCTCAGGGGTAGATCATATACGTAGCATTCAGAAGAACCCAGATTGATTATCTCACATCCAACAACCAGAAAATTACAATTAGAGAACACACGATGTACTAAGAAACGTACAACTTGCTGTTGCATTAATGCTCCTTGAACAGCATGAACATATTGCTAATGGTGGTCAATTACTATACAAATACCCTGTAATTGCACTTGTTAAAAGCTGGACATGGTATGCTGCCATGAAGGGAGGGGCACAAAAATGAGAAATGACTGGTACACGATGCAGGTTAATTGTTAAGAAAGAAAGAGTATCTGGCTTCTCTTCTCATCGACAGCACTTACATTGATGCAAACAAGGGAAAAACCCAAATCTTCAAACCAGCATGCTGAAAGTCTCGTATTTCTATAATTATGCTTTTGCTGTCTAAGATTAATCAGGCAAGTTAATGATGCAAAAAATTACATTTATAATCCAGTCTGAATACAGCTGTACAGCAAGCTAAGATCTAAGTGCTATTAAGGTAAATGGAATTAATGGGCTGTCCCTGGCAATCTTTCTATCTATCACTTACTAATTAACATTATTCTGTAAAGAATAATTTGTGGTGAGAAAAATATACAAACCCAACTAGGCCAAATTTGCAATGGACAGTGTTGTTAATGGATTGTCCTACAGGTTGGTACCAGATGGTACACTGGGTTTAGTTTGTCAGTTTACAAGAAACTGCCATCTGGGACTGAAATTAGAGAAAAACCTTTTATGCACTTTATTATGGAGGCAAGTTATCTCCACCACAGATGAACTTGGAGATAACGTCCACTTCAGCTAATAACCAAAGGGTCAAGTAGGAGATGGTATAAAAAGTAATCTTAGATGAATGCTTGTTATAGTTGAGATCTTATCTTGTTCTCCATCACAAGATTCAAGGGGAGCCTCGGGCTGTGTTGGCTTGTTTAATTTCTCCACTTTTTTGATCTCATCACTGTGGGGAGATATCAACATCTGAATCAGGATGTCCCAATTCAGGAGGTTTTAAAAGCTGACTTAATGCAGGTATTTTTCAGGCCCAAGAGCTGGTCTGGATTTTTCATAAAAGTGTTATGGGCAGCACAAAATATCAGTTTCACAGAAGAAAAACTGGTGGTGCTCAGAACCCCCTTCCCTCAAAGAACAGGCAAAACATATAACCCACAACTAATAAAACAGACCCCCACCCAAACCCCCCCAGATACCCAAGTAAAATGCAAGTCACTAGTTTATGAAACAATGTTTTTTCTACAGAACAGAATCCAAGATTACTGAGATTCAAACAATCCTAATAATACACAAGATACAAATCCCTCTTTAGATCAACCCTCAGTTTTCTTGCAGGCCTGGAAGATATCTCCATTCGGACATTTATGACTATCTGCATTAAGAGGAGTACAAGTGCAGAGAAGGAATACACAGAAGGAATTCCAAAACCAATGTCCCACGAGCTCCCCACTACTTTGGTACACAGTGTTGTGTAAGCACATTGTTTCGCACAGGGGAGGGACTGTATTGCAGCCAAGGTTATTTTCATTAGACATATTTCTTCTTTTCTTCATGCATGGGAAATGTTAGAATAGAGAATAGAAACATTCCAGAGTAATTAAAATCTGAAATGAATTATTCAATTCGATTAAAAATGAAAGGAATTATTTAAATGGTTAGGCGCATTGTCTTATATTTTAGCGACACTGACTTTGCATTTAAATTTCAAATATTCGTTGAGTAGAAGCACTGTTGCAAGTTTATAAATGAAAATTCTATTTTTTAAAAATATTAATGTACTTTTCTAACATTATCCTTAAGTTGCTATTGGGTAAATAAATGATTAAAGAATCTATGATACTGCCAAAAAAAAGAAGAGTCAAGCAAAGAAAAAAAGAGTTACATTGGCTTGGAATGCACGCTCTGCTAAGCAACAACATGAAAGTATTGCGCTCTTGGAAAGGAGATCAGTGTTTTTACTCCTCCACTGTCATATTGTTCTTTTGTTGTGCTGTTCTAAGATGAACGATGCTTTGGCTTATTGGTTAGCCTGTAGAAGCTGAAGTGTGAGTTTGGATTTAGATGACACACTAAGCCAAACCATGGCTTAGCTCATTATAGCACAACAGCAGAGGAAGAGCAAAACAGCTGTGATCTCTCCTGGAGCTCGTATGGTCCCATTCACATAAAAAGCCATGGTCTGGCTGCCCGTCGACACAATATAGAGCAGTGCTTATAGCTGTGCGTAGCTTACATAGCAAATAAGGGACCCCCCCAAAAAAAATATTGGTACATCTTTAAATTTTGGGGGGGAAAGTACGGATTCATTTATTTGGGACCTTTCGTTCTTCTTACTTTATGTGCATCTTTTAAATGAGGCATTCTGTTTATCAGCTGAATTGCCTGATTATTTTTACTTTCATACTTATTAGAATATATTCAAGGGCAAGTGCCACAGTTTATGGATTCAGAAGGTTCTGCATGCTATGTTCATTGCCTCCAGTTAGATGGACCTGTGCAGATAAGGGGACAGCTGGTCGGAGTACACAATACAGGGCAAGAAGAACCAATAGGGAAGAAGCTTCATAGAGAATGATGGGAATTGTAGTCCAAAGCACCAGGTTGGGGAAAGGCTGCCCTGTTCTACCCTGTGGAACTAGAGCAACTAGAGCCGAAGAGTCATTATCTGTCATTAGTTTTCAGCACTTTATTTCCCTTTACTAGAAATATCAAGGAAATTGTAATTGGATCAATTTTACCCAACCTTCATTAAATCATAGAAACATTTCTCCAAAAGGTATGCAACCTACATAATTTTAGATTGGTTGCCTCTCAGTTTTCTTTCAGAAATAGCAGTGGATGTTTTCAACTCTGCACAGTGACATCACTTGGTGCTAATCCTGACCACCTCCTTCTGTGTAAACTTTCCCTCCCCCAAAACTGGGCTTTTGCCTATTTAATTGAAGCACGTAACAAGCATATGTTCTGCTCAAGTAACTGTGCGAAGTTCAAAGTATCATATCTAAACAGTCTGCAGTCTCTCAACGCCTTCAAGGCACCACACTCTTGGAAATGACTCTTTAATTTGAAGCCGACATAAAACTTTAATTTATTGAAAAGTGCTGCTGCTTTTTGATGGGGAGGCAATTTCTGTGTACCCAGTAGAGAATGATGTCAAGACTTAATTAAAAGCAGCAATTCACATACGAACACCGTCCCTGCTTAAATTTGTCCCATGTTCTAGCTGCAGGAAGAAGGAAGGATGAAACACCAGTTATTGCATGCAGCACTTACACCAGGCATGGGCAAACTCCGGCCCTCCAGATGTTTGGGACTACAATTCCCATCATCCCTAGCTAACAGGACCAGTGTTAAGGGATGATGGGAATTGTAGTTCCAAACATCTGGAGGGCTGGAGTTTGCCTAGGCCTGACTTACACCATGATCAAATCCTATGGTACAGGTATTTATAAAGAACAAAAAGTGTCTTTTAGGTGTGAGAGTTGTTCCATACTAATACTGCAGCACAGCTAGACAACTGTTCTGCATTCATCTTCTCCTCTCCAGCATTTTTACAGGCCTGGGCAAGTAATCCAATTAGAACTGAGTTGCACAGAAATGTCCCAGAGTGCTTCCTCCCCTTACCAGGGAGAGGAGAGAATCTATATATATTTCTTTTTCTCCCCTCTCAAGATAAAAAAAAAAAGTTTGAAGATTTTCTCTGAAAGTTGGACCCCCCACTGACCCCCGGCACCTTAGCACCAGGGCATCACGGAGGATGCAAAAATCGTGGCCAGGCTCCCAATGCAGTTCCTGCTGTTACCACTTGGAGCAGCAGCGATTTTAAAAACACAAAACAAAACCTTAAAAAAAATGTTTAATTTTATACCTTATGCATTTAAATTTAGATGTAAGGTCCCTGCTTTTGAATTATGGTGCTGGAGGAGACTCTTGAGAGTCCCATGGACTGCAAGAAGATCAAACCTCTCCATTCTTAAGGAAATCAGCTCTGAGTGCTCACTGGAAGGATAGATCGTGAAGCTGAGGCTCCAATACTTTGGCCACTTCATGAGAAGAGAAGACTCCCTGGAGAAGACCCTGATGTTGGGAAAGATTGAGGGCACAAGGAGAAGGGGGCGATAGAGGAGGAGATGGTTGGACAGTGTTGTCGAAGCTACCAGCATGAGTTTCACCAAACTGCGGGAGGCAGTGGAAGACAGGAGTGCCTGGTGTGCTCTGGTTCATGGGGTCACGAAGAGTCGACCACGACTAAACGACTTTAAAAAAAAAGGTCCCTGCTCCCGCCAACTTAGCAGTTCGAAAGCACGTCAAAGTGCAAGTAGATAAATAGGTACCGCTCCAGCGGGAAGGTAAACGGTGTTTCTGTGTGCTGCTCTGGTTCGCCAGAAGCAGCTTAGTGATGCTGGCCCCATGACCCGGAAGCTGTATGCCGGCTCCCTCGGCCAGTAAAGCAAGATGAGCGCCGCAACCCCAGAGTCGGT